GGAATAATCGATTATCTTGGGTAATAATCGATTATTGAAGCTTAATTGAGTGGTTCATGAAAAATCTTTCTGTAATAATCGATTATTTGGGGTAATAATCAATTATTTGTACTAAATTGGCCAAAATCAGTGATTTCTCTCAGGAGTAATCGATTATCAGGCCAGATAATCGATTATTCATGCACTTTCTGGGCAAGGATGTCTTAAAAATTCTTATTGTTTGTTTTATTTGTACTATATTGACTTATTGAATAAAGTTCTATGTTTGCTTAAATTGAGGGGGAGTTGTCTATGTTTTGTTATGCATACGTTCAGGGGGAGCTTTCTTTCATTTTTTATTATAATCAAAATAGGGGGAGAAATTATTTAAAGCCTCATATGTTTAATAATCTTAATGATGCCTGGTATGTTTAATAGTTTTGTTAGATGTGACAGATAAAACAGGTTATTACAAAGGGATTTAAAGCAAATTTTGATCATCATCAAAAAGGGGGAAATTGTTAAACATACAAGGATATGAAGCTTGAAGATTTTGATGATGATTCAAGAACAAAGAACTTAAAGACTTGAAGACTTATAATCATGTGTATTTACTTGTAATAACTCTGTTTTGTCTTTTTGAGTCTATAAAATTAGAGTCCAAGATATCCAGCACATAGTCCATCCTCTAAAACCTCTAAAATTTCATTTTTATCAAAAATACACTGTGATAATCGATTATCACTCAGGATAATCGATTATCACAGACTGAAAATTGTTTTTATAAAAAGCTTATTGTGATAATCGATTATCACTCAGGATAATCGATTATCCCAGCCAAATAATCGATTATTCACTCAGATAATCGATTATCCTGGTCCTGTTTTGCTCCTCTGCGAAAATGACTCTAGAATAATCAATTATCACTCAAGATAATCGATTATTTACGTCTGTTATGAGTTTTGAAATCCAAATCTGGATCAATTTACGAAAACCCTATTCCCAATTCTTATGTTTTCGAAAATCATCATTTCTCAGACTCTATTCTCTCTACTTAAGGTTCTCTAAGGCTCTCTGCAAAAAAAAAAAAACCTTTTCCATACAAAAGTTAAGAGTTGTGACTCCGAGAACTTTCTGTAGGGAAGAAAAAGGGGCTTTTCAAAACCTAGTGTGGGCTAGAAGCGATAAGAATCACTGAGTGAGTTTCTTAGTAGATTGTGTGTTGTGTCGTCTCTAGGAAAAGCTATTGTTCATCCTTTGTGGATTCAAAGGAGGTGTTCATCTCTTGTGTGACTCAAGAGAGATGTTTTCTATTCCTTATCTTTTCAATTTGTAATTTGTTTGTAAATTGTGATTATAGTGACAATGTTAATCCTCTTTTTGAGTGATTAGCAACTAGACGTATGGTCTTTTGATCCGAACCAGTATAAATCAATTGTGTAATCTTCTTTCCCTTATCTATTTACTTTATAAAGCATTTTAATCGGTGAAATTTGGGGAAAATTTTAAAACCCTAATTTTTGTTTAAGAAACCAATTCACCCCCCCCCCCTCTTGGTTTTTGTCCGTAAACGCAAATATTCCGTTGCACGATTCTAACACTATAGACCCCAAATCTTGCCCGGTCTAGCAATAAATTTAGAAACCATCCGTTTCGAAGATGGTCAAGACTTTGATAAGTCGCTAGTAGCTTTTTCTAGGACCCATTTAGAATAAGGAGGGATTTCTGAGAAAATAAAAAATCATTTTCTCAAGGAAGCAGTAGATGACCGTCCAGAAGAGAAAGACGACCGTCTACCCTGATTTTTCAGCCATGGACGGTCGTCCACCTTTACCAGACGACCATCCACCTTAAAAATGAGCCATGGACGACTGTCCATGCTAAGCAGATGGTCGTCCATCCCCATTTTTAGCAATGGATGGTCGTCCATGATGGCCAGACAACCATCCACTTTTCCTGGCTCGCTTCCCTATAAATAGGAGCCTCATTTCCTCATTTCCACACACTCTCACACTATTCTCTAATCCTAGAAGCTCTCATAAGACTTCAGGATAATTCTGAGTACTTTCCAGAGTTTGAGTAGACTTTCCGATTTCCATTTAAGGTAGAAATCGGTTAAGAAAGTCTCCTTTTGAGACATCTGACACTCGATAGGAGGGTATTTTCTCTTTTGCTGGTGAGGAGCGTGCTTGTAGAGTGAGGGGATTGCCAAAACGCGTCCTCAAGTTTGAAGAATTAATAGAAAGCTCACTTTGGAGGTTCCTTTCTCTATTCTCTCTCTTTTACTGCTTTCTTTTATTGATTTCTTTTACTACTTTCCTTGTATGCATTAGATACTAGGGCCTTGTAGACATTTAAATTCTGCCAGTAGATAAATAAATAGGATAAAATCATAGTTTCTTTCAGTCTTTATTTTATGAATTAGTCCATCATAGGAAACCCGAAAGGGCCGTTGTGGGGTGCTAACACCTTCCCCACACGTAACTAACTCCCTTACCCAACTCTGGTTGTAACGACCAAAGTTGATTTTTCTAAACCAATACCTTCTTTTTCCTTTTTCGATGTTTATGGTAAAACATCAGTGGCGACTCCATAGAACCCTTTACGAAAACCTCGCTTTTAGGTTCAACTCAATTATCGGAAACCTAAAAGCGTTGACCACTTTTTTAGAAAACGCGAGTCATCAAAATCATTGTGTCGCTTCGACCGCCTCTTTTGACGGCGGCGACACTCAAGCACACATCAATATTTCTCAATACACTCAACTCCACATGACACACAGTCCCATATTGCAATTTCACATCATACAATTGTTCATTAGCATATAGCATTCTCATAAACATTGTCACACTAATTTCATTTACTCCTAATTAGCACTAAGCATATCACATAACATTCTTCGTCACAATCATCCAATACACAACACCCACTCATTCAATTATCCTTGCACCAATCATCACAAAGAGGTTAGGACAAGCTCCCCTTACCTGGTACGTCCACGTTTATTTTCTCCAAAGTTTGAGACTGATTTCCTATTAGAAAACATGAATAAGGTTAGTGTTTTTGACATAACTCAACTTATACTCAATATTTTGACATGAGACCAGTTTCTAACTTTCAAGGACTCATTTATATTGATGAAGAAAATAAATTCAAATACCCTATAGAATAAATGTAGTTTTCATTTTATAGTGGTTGTTTCCAACATGGTTCAACTACAATAACACTTTGAACATGCCTTGGTATTTTGACTATAACTCATGTTACACATAAGCTATTAACATGAAAACAATTCCTACATTTCGGGAACACATTTTCCTACAATTTTTATGAAGGAAGAAATTCCTAATTTCACATGTATCAATCCCAATAATTCAAAAACAGAGGCTGTTGAAACAGGGTATCATCTTAACGTCACAGCTAGAACACCTGATAGTAAAATGGGCATAACTCGAGCTACAAATATCCGTTTGATGTGAAATCAGTTTCTAAATTTCTATAATATAATTTCCCACAATTTTATGAAGAAATAAAGTCCTAATTTTACACGTATAAATCCCATAAATTCAAAAACCGAGGCTATTGATACAGGGAAACATTTTAACATCACAACTAGAACACTTGTCAGTAAAATAGACATAACTTAAGCTTCGAATATCCATTTGATGTGAAACTATTTTCCACATTCCGGGAACATAATTTTCCTACAACTTTTATGAAGACACCAATTCCTAATTATATTCACACAAGTCCCAGAATTTCAGTGAACAGTACCTACGAATTAGGGTTCCTAAGGTTTTTAGCTCAACCACTTTCAATCCTCCACTTCAAACATGATTCTAGTGTTCTAGGTGTAAAATCACAATAATGAAACCATGATAATACTTTTCTCACTCCATTGAAGCCCAGCCAAGTTAGAAGAAAAATTGAAAATGCACCATATTGAAAATTGAAACCGTAGAAATGTAGAGGAGATTGAGAAGAACAAACTTACCTCTTGGAGCTCCTCAAGAAGAATGAAGATTTAGCCTTCAATTTGAAGATAGAAATGTAAGAAGAAGAAGAAAGAAGAAGAAGAAGAAGAAGAAGAAGAAGAAGAAGAAGAAGAAGAAGAAGAAGAAGAAGAAGAAGAAGAAGAAGAAGAAGAAGAAGAAGAAGAAGAAGAAGAAGAAGAAGAAGAAGAAGAAGAAGAAGAAGAAGAAGAAGAAGAAGAAGAAGAAGAAGAAGAAGAAGAAGAAGAAGAAGAAGAAGAAGAAGAAGAAGAAGAAGAAGAAGAAGAAGAAGAAGAAGAAGAAGAAGAAGAAGAAGAAGAAGAAGAAGAAGAAGAAGAAGAAGAAGAAGAAGAAGAAGAAGAAGAAGAAGAAGAAGAAGAAGAAGAAGAAGAAGAAGAAGAAGAAGAAGAAGAAGAAGAAGAAGAAGAAGAAGAAGAAGAAGAAGAAGAAGAAGGAGAAGAAGAAGAAGAAGAAGGAGAAGAAGGAGAAGAAGAAGAAGAAGAAGAAGAAGAAGAAGAAGAAGAAGAAGAAGAAGAAGAAGAAGAAGAAGAAGAAGAAGAAGAAGAAGAAGAAGAAGAAGAAGAAGAAGAAGAAGAAGAAGAAGAAGAAGAAGAAGAAGAAGAAGAAGAAGAAGAAGAAGAAGAAGAAGAAGAAGAAGAAGAAGAAGAAGAAGAAGAAGAAGAAGAAGAAGAAGAAGAAGAAGAAGGAGAAGAAGAAGAAGAAGGAGAAGAAGAAGAAGAAGGAGAAGAAGAAGAAGAAGGAGAAGAAGAAGAAGAAGGAGAAGAAGAAGAAGAAGGAGAAGAAGAAGAAGAAGGAGAAGAAGAAGAAGAAGAAGAAGAAGAAGAAGAAGAAGAAGAAGAAGAAGAAAGGACTGCATGCTGCTGAATTTGGAGAAATCTAAAATAAATATAAAATATTTGACAAAAATGCCCCTCAACTAAATACTAAAGGAATAGTTTGCCCTTTTTTCTCTTAATTGAATTTTATTTATTTCTCCCATTATAAATCTAATAATGAAAATTCCAACAATCAAAACCTAAAACCACGTCTCAGGAAATTAATACCCAAATTCGAGACTGATCCAACGGTTAACGAATTGGCGATCGTGATTTTACCGAAACTGTTTGGGATTCCAGCGAATTTGAAAGCAGAGTCACCTGTTAGAGCTCTATTTCTCCCCATACGAAGTCCAAACGAAAACTTGAATAGTGGAAATTTAGAGGAGAATGTCTGGAACATACTCTTCAACTTGCAGGCAAATCCAACGATGGAATTGATCGCGATCCGGACTGGAAGCTCGGAGGTTCTTTGGAGTCACAACCCCTTTTTGAGTCAAACAATTCGAAACACCTCCTTTTGGCTCTCCTAAACACATACTAACTCTCATACCATACGAAAAACTTCAAAAAAAATTCCAATGCATCAAGGGAAATAAATAAATCAATTCATACATAATTCCACATCATATACAAGCACTAAACAATATTTACCATCAGGCACACATCCAAAGAACTATCTAGCCCTCACCACACGCTTAATCATGCTCATACAAAGAGCTATAGAAAGCTAACCCGACACTGGCCACGCATTAGCATAAAATTCCTTCACCACTTCGGGTCATATTTCGGCATTGGGAGCACTAGTCGCCTCCGAGTTTCGGTGAGTGATTTCATCATTGAATTCTGGAATTCGCCTTCATTTAGCACCATTCGTCTTTCAACAATGAAACTCCACTGGCTGATTTTTTTCAAATATGGCTTGCCTCTCAGGATCCCTAAATCGACTTCTATCTACATAAATATCTTCAAGCTCGGTCTTGGGTCTCTTCTCAGCAGCTCCTGGAGGATGAAACACTTAGATTCTCTTCTTCGACCCATCTGTAAACATCATGATAATCAAAGATAATTAATGATAAATTGAATATACTGATCCTGTCATGAATAAAATGAGACTTTGGGTTATGGTCATGCATTGTGGTTTATGTCAGAGGGTCATTTTCAATGAAACATACTATGGTTCATACTGAGACATTTCATCAAACAGTTGGTGTACGTCTAATTTTGGGGCCCTTATGACTCTAATTTCTAGCATGTACACTTTTCTAATGAAACATTTAAACAAAAACTTGACAAGCACAACTTTGATACCACATAAAAAGTAAGTCATTCACTCTGAGACATTTTATCAAATAGTTGGTGTGCACCAAAAAATCTTACAAATAGATATGCATTCTAAAGTCCAATTCCAGCCATAATCACATATCAACATTCATGCTTAATTTCAACAATGAAATGAGAATTAAAATGGAGAAAGAATGACATACAAATCATAGTTGAAATTCAAGGTAGAAGATATTTGGAAATCTTAAAATGCTTCCAGTCATGAAATTGTAATGCAAAATCACCAAGGAGGGTTTCATATGTTACCTTAGTTGCAGAATCACGCACAAATGAGATGCAAGGAGAATGAACAGATAAAGAAGTGAAAATTTTGAGTTTTTAATCGGTAGAATGTGACAAAAATAACCCAGAATACTTGGAATGGGGTATGGGAGACTGAAATTAGAGTGATATAGGCGTGAAATAGAGAAGAAAACTCGTGAGCACAGTGTAAGCACGAAGAAAATTTTGAGAGAATGAAAAAAAGCTGAGCCAGTGTGTTGGGTTTAAATTCTAATTCTGGGTTTTTCGTTCAAGTAAAACAGCCACGCTTGAGCAAACAAAAACCTGGGAGGTTACACTAAATTTTGCTCAAGCGAATCCTTGGTCGCTTGAGCGAATGATGAAAAACTTTTGAGCAAAAGTGAGTTTTTGTTTGAGCGACGAAAAATAGAGAGAAACAACGTAGTTTCACTTGGGCGAATAAACTTTCGCCTGAGCAAAAATATCAGTGAAATTTGACTCTCAAACATGATGCTCAAATGCAAAACTTTCAATAACCAAACTTCAAAAATTATTTCCTCTCCCTTTCTATACGAACTCAACAATAACTTAACAACCAAACCAAATATTGTTCAAACAAACCCAATTCAAAATTTCCACAATTCACAATTAACTAATAATGCCCAAAAACTTACAATGCAAAAAGAAAAACAAATTCAAAACATTGGGTTGCTTCCCAGGAGCGCTTGTTTAACGTCTTTAGCTCGACGCCTGTTTACTTTATGGCTCAAGCAGGTGAGTGATCAAGGTGAGTCTTTCAACTTCACCTCCCAGATAAGCTTTGATTCTTTGCCCATTGACTGTCCATGTTCTTCCTGTTGTTGGATCTTCCAATTCCACAATATCGTAAGGCTTAACACTTCTTATCAAGAATGGCCCTGACCATTTGAACTTTAATTTCCTAGGGAAAAGCCTTAACCTTGAGTTGAACAGCAACACAGACTGACTTGGATGAAAATCTCGTTTCAAAATTTTCTTATCATGATATGCCTTGACTTTCTCCTTGTATAACTTGGAGGATTCATATGCATTGAGTCTCATATCTTCTAACTCATAAGTATGTGTTCTTCTTTTCTCTACTGAAGCTTTAGGGTCAAAATTGAGGAATTTTAAAGCTCAATAAGCTTTGTGCTCCATTTCTACTGGGAGATGACATGACTTGCCATAAACAAGTTGAAAGGGAGAAAGCCTAGTGGGAGATTTGTTTGCAGTTCTATAAGCCCAAAGCGCATCATCCAACTTCATCGACCAATCTTTCTTTAAGGGCAAAAAAAATTTCTCTAAGATTATTTTGATTTCTCTATTTGACACTTCTACTTGTCCATTCGTTTGTGGATGATAAGGTGATGCAACCCTATGCCTAACCCCATAATGCTCTAGACATTTTTGAAGTTGATTATTGCAGAAATGTGATCCTCCATCACTGATCAAAACTCTAGGCATGCCAAATCTACAGAATATATTCTTCTTTAAAAACTTTATCATAGTTTTGGCATCAGCTTTTGCGGTTGCTACTGCTTCCACCCACTTAGACACGTAATCAACTGCTACCAAGATGTACTCAATAGAGAATGAGGATGGGAAAGGACCTAAAAATCGATTCCCCAATAGTCAAATACTTCTACTTCCAACATGATATTCATGGGCATGTCATGTCTTCTTGAGATTCCCTCCGTTCTCGACAATTATCACATTGTTGGACATAGTTGTGGGCATCCTTGAACAAGGTAGGCTAGAAAAATCAGATTGGAGGACCTTTTCCGCAGTCCTCACTCCATTAAAGTTCCCACCATAAGGAGAACCGTGACATTTCCGGAGAATGCTTCGGCTTCCTCACTTGTTACACACCTTCTCAACAAGTTATCACTCGTACTTTGAAAAGATAGGGATCATCCCATACAAAATAGTGTGCATCTTTAAAGAACTTCTTCCTTTGATGCCAAGTAAAATCTTCTCGGAACAATCCATGCAGCTTTGAAATTTTCCATGTTAGCAAACCATGGCCTCTCTTGAATAGCAAATAGTTTTTCATCCGGAAATTCATCTCTAATATCATGCTCTCTCGAAGTCACCTTTTCATTAATCAATTTGGATAAATGATCTGCCATAAGATTTTCACTACCTTTTTTATCTTTGATTTCCAGATCAAATTCTTGTAGCAATAATACCAATCTTATCAATCGTGGTTTGGAGTCCGATTTAGCAAGCAAGTATTTGATAGTTGCATGGTCGGTGTACACAATAACTTTTGATCCTATCAATAGCTGCATAGTTGATTTGAGATTCATTCAGATTCATTCGAGGACTTTGCTTTTTTTGACCAAGTACAACCCCTACAAGCATAGTCACCGGCATCACAATTAAACTCGAAAAATTAAATTCCAATCGAGTTCTCTAATGATGGGGGCTGAACACAATTTATCCTTTATAGCTAAAAAGGCTTTGAGACATTCCTCATAAAAGCAAAACTTTGTATCTTTGTTCAACAAATTACTGAGAGGTTTTGCAATCTTAGAAAAAACCTGGATAAATCTTCTATAAAATCCTACATGTCCTAGTAAGCTCCTTATGCCTTTCACATTGATTAGAGGTGGCGGCTTAGAAATAACTTCCACCTTTGCTTGATCCACTTCAATACCCCGAGATGAGATCTTGTGGCCCGAGCACAATACCTTCCAGTGACCATGAAATGACATTTTTCCCAATTTAGCACCAAATTTGTTTCCATACATCTCTTCAGCATCGAGATCCAAATGTTGCAGTACATAAATCAAATGATGGCCCAAATAATGAAAAATCATCCATAGAGATTTCTATGCGGCTTTCAACAAGGTCAGAAAAGATAACAGACATGCATCTTTGGAAAGTGGATGGAGGATTACACAACCCAAATGGCATTTTTCTATAAGCAAAAACACCAAAATGACATGTAAATCCAGTCTTTTCTTGATCTAAAGGATCCACCACAATGTGATTGTAACCAGAATATCCATCTAAAAAGTAGTAAAATTCTTGGCCTGTTAATCTTTCAAGAATCTGATCCATGAAGGGTAATGGGAAATGGTATTTTCTTGTGGTTTGGTTGACTTTTCGGTAATCAATACACATTCTTCATCCATTGATCTGTCCTTGTGGGAATTAATTTGTTCTCTTCATTACGAATAACTTGTCATCCCACCTTTCTTAGGAACAACCTATACATGACTCACCCAACTGCTGTCAGAGATGGGGTAAATCATACCTTCTTCAAGAAGTTTTAGTACCTCTTTTTTAACAACCTCCTTCATAATAGGATTGAGACGTCTTTGGGGTTGTGCAACGGGCTTGTAATCTTGTTCCATGTAAATCCTATGCATACAATAGGATGGGCTTATACCTTTCAAATCTGCTAATGTCCACCCTATGGCTCCCATATTATTCCGTAAAATTGCTATTAGTTTCTTTTCCTCAGCTTAGAGATAATGAGTTGCTGATTATTATTGGTTTATATCTCTCTTCATCAAGAAATACATACTTTAAGTGTGGGGGCAACAATTTTAACTCAATTTTATTTTCTTCAATTTTCTCTTCTTTTCCCAAGTCTTTAATCTTGACATCTGTGGGGTGACATCTCTTTTGCTTTATGCAAATCCACTAGGCATTCCTTCACTTCTTAATCTTCTTCCATGTCCAAAGTGTAGCATCCTTCCATCAATGCTTTCTCTAATCTCAAATCTTCTTAATCTTTCGCGTTTTTATGGGTGATGTAACAACGCCTTTAGGTTGTCCAATAACCGGGCTGAACCTCGAGGGCGAGGTTTTTGAAAGGGTGTTCTTAGGTTGTTCGATAATCGGGCTAACCTAAGAACTAATTTAAAGGGGTTCTTATGGAGTCGCCACCGATGTTTTTACCGAAACACTCGAAAAAGGAGGAAAAAGGCGTTGGTTTTTCGAAAAACCAACTTTGGTCGTTAAAACCAGAGTTGGGTGAGGGAGTTAGTTACGTTTAAGGGAAGTGTTAGTTCCCTTACAACGCCCTTTCGGGTTCCCTATGATAGGCCAGCTATTTTATAAATAAACTTTTGAAAAGACGCTTTTACCCTTTTATTTGCGGAATTAAGATAATGACTACATGACCCTAATGTCTATTACACAATTTAATCATGAAAATAAAGACGAGTAAAAGAGATGGAGAGAATGAAGAAACCTCTGAGGCAAGCTTTTGATTAATACTCTTGAAAAATAGGATGCGTTTTGGCAGCCCTTCGCTCTTACAACACCGAAAACTCTCTCAAAACGCTATAAAAATCTCTCTAAGACTCTCAAAAACTCCAGAAATGCTTCGGAGGAACTCTAGGAAGAGAATTTGAAGAAAGTGTAGAAGGGAAAGTGGAAGAACTGTGTGAAATGAGGGGGAGTGCTCACTATTTATAGGGATTCGCGCTTGTCGAGTCGAGACGACCGTCTCGTCCGACAAGGTTGAGACGACCGTCTCGTCGACAAGGTCGAGATGACTCGTCTCGTCGACAAGGTCGAGACGACCATCTCGCCATTCGGGACGACGGTCTCGACTTGGATAAGTGGCGAGACAAGAGGGCCTTCTCACCAAACGGGAGGGGGTCTCGCCATTGGCAAGTGGCGAGACGATCGTCTCGCCAAACGAGACGGCGGTCTCGACTTGCGGCAATGGCGAGAGGGTGCTTCCGAAAAGCGAGACGGCTGTCTCGACCCCTGAAGGCAAAAATCCTTATTTTTATACAGAAAATCCTTCCTACTCTAACATGGGGCCTAATAGTCTCTCCTAGTGGCTTTTTAGGCTTCGTCCATCTTCGAATAGGAGGTCTTCTGCTCTTATTTTGAGGTCGGGCAAGATTCAGGGTCTACAGCTGCCCCCCCTTTACCTGACTAGTCAACTATTGGCCTGTCGTGCCAAGAAGATCGACTGAAGGGTAAAGGAGTTGACCCTCTTGCCCGGTTACCCTTTGGATGTTTCGTCTTGTGGCGGTTGATCTTTTAGGGAAAAGTGTGTTGTGCACCTCCAGGATACTCCTGCTGACAGGAGCCGATCCCTTCGGTTGACACATGGTAAAACCTCAGGATACTCCTTCTAACGGTAGCTGATCCTTTGGTTGATGGGTATAAACCCCCATCAGGCTGGTAGTTGCAGTCCGTTGTGCGTCGCACTGGATGAGTATGAACCCCCCATCAGGCTGGTACAGTCCACTTGCGTGGGACTGGTGGTGGTGGCGTCTTACTGCTCAGGTGGCTCATGCGCCGCATGTTGAGATACTTTCTTTTGTCTTTGTTTTTTTTGTCTTTTCTAGGAGTGGTCGTTTGGTCTGTGCTGGGGAATCTATTGGTGTTCATCCAGCTTGTTAGCTACTAGGATGGTCTTGTTTATTTGTCACTTGAATTTTGATGGTTGTTGAAAATTTTCTTGGTCAATGTGGTTG